CAACATCTGTAGTTTGGAATTTTATGCATAAAAAATATAATAGTCAAAATGAAGTTATAGAAATAGTTTGTAGTTTATGTGAAAAAAAATATGCAAAAAAAACATCAACACGACCACTTATGGATCATTTAACAAAAGAGCATAGTAATATTCTTTCTACAACAAATCAATTGCAAAAACCATATAATAATAATGATAGTAAAAGAATAAAAGAATGTACAGATGCTGTTATTAATTTTATTGTTGGGTTCCAAATGCCATTTTCAGTTGTAGGGAATTTTTGGTTTAGAAAATTATGCAATATTTTTGATTCACGATATATCTTACCAACACGTCAATCTTTACAAAATCAAATTCATCAAAGATTTGAAAATCATCGTAATTTAATTGCAAAAGAATTATCAGAACTTACAGTAAAAGTATCATTAACTGCAGATATTTGGACATCCATATCAAATCAAGCATATCTTGGTATAACTATACATTACATTAATAATAATTGGAAGTTGTGTCATTATCTTCTTGATTTAATTCATTTGGTACATGAACATACTGCTATGAGAATTAAGGAAAAGCTTTTTCAATTAATTTATGAAATGAATCTTAATGATAAAGTTCTCGCACTTACTACAGATAATGATGCAAAAATGATTAGTTGTGGCAACCTTATGTTATATGAATTTGAAGAAACTTGTGAACATTGTGATTTTCATCACTATAGATGTGCCGCTCATATTTTAAATTTAGCAGTAAATCATGGAATGGAACTAAGAGCTCCTATTATTGATAAAGTAAGAAAGTTTGTAAATAAAATTCGTAATTCAACAAAATTTTGTGATGAGCTGCGGGATTATTGTAAAGAAATGAAAAAAAATTATTGTAAACCTGATCTCGATGTTGCTACTCGATGGAATAGCACATTTTTAATGTTGGAGAAATTTAAACATATGCGTGAAGAACTTAATTGTTTAGTTAATAATAATAAAAAAACTTTAGAACCAATTTATCTTAATAATAATGAGTGGGAAGAAGTTCAATCAATGATAATTTTATTAGACCCTATGTATAAAGCAACTAAAATGCTATCATCTTCATCATACCCCACTATTAGTGATATTCGGTTAACTTTCATAGGAATCTTTCGACACATTGAGTTATATATAGAAAATCAAAATCATTCAATTGAAAAATGTATGATGGCAGATTCTATATGTAAAAAACTAGAAGATTATTGGACAATTATAGATAAAT